CTGCTGAACTAAAAGCCAATAGTTACGTCAGGGGAGGTAACTGTTGGGGTAGAGTCTGAAGAACAGTCATCTGTTACACTCCAAAGGGTATTTATACCCTCTTCTCTCAATATGGGCCCTGGTTAATCAGCACAGTCCTAGGAAAGCTTAGGAAATTTTGCTACCTCCTTGGGCACCAGTCATGGCCACCATGCTTCTCCAAGTTCCTCTTCTATTTTAAGTAATGTGATTAAAGACTGACAAGAACAGAGCATGTCTTCACAAGGGGCTTCAAGGAATTCTGAACCCTGTCTTATTCTTCAAAGACTTGGGCTTCTTTGCGGGGGGTTAGACAACTGAGAATTTTTGGCTGTGTGTTATTGGAAGTAAGTTCAGGGTAAGATCTGCTCTTTCACATAGGGATAACTACCCCTATTTTGTAGATGAGGATACTGAGCCCAGAGAGCATCAACCATTCCATCCTGTGGACTCCAGACATGCTTAAGGTGGGGCATGCAGGATATTAAGCATCACTTCTCTACCTCCTCAAGCATCTGAGGGGAACTTGCTCTCAAACAGTGGTGTCTAAGAGTAGACGTCAGTTCCTCAAGATTATGTAGTGGCTATTACAACTTTTCTACATTGTTCTAGTAATGTAACCTATTCTTGTGAGCATGGAGTTGGCATTTACTCCAGATGGCACCATCTATTCCTGGCTCCACGTCTGTATTCATCCAGGAATGATCCTTTGTTAAAATAGGACAATGAGAACCCATCCTAGAATATTTTTATTGAGAAGTCATCGTGACCAGATAGTTTGTGTCCTTCTTGCTACCAGCAGCCATATCAAGAAAATATATCTGCAAGGGAGAAGATGATGGTGACAAGTGTTATAAAAATAAAATGGGAAAAGTCAGAAAGATGGTTTGATTTTATGTAGTGTGGAGAGGGAAAGGCCTCATTGGGGAGGCCAAAGTGGAGGAAAAGAGCCACTTGGATATCTGGAGGATGTTGTGTGTATATGTGTGTAATACATACACATATGTAACCTGTTTTTGTTTTTTGGTTTTTTTTTTTAAGTTGGGCCCATTTTCTGGCTTGAACTTGACCTCCCCTTGCTTGGTATGAGCTATCATCATGCCTATGCTTGGCAGGGAAAGGTGGAGCCGTAGCCTCTGGAAGGGTTTAATTCATGGGTATCCTAGATGTCCTCAGCCACTACCCCTGTTTATTGCCCCCAGTTGGAGACTGCAGCTGTAGTTGCCCTGAAGCTACCCCTTTATCTGTGTTTTTCTGGGGAAGGCTTATCCTGTTGAATCCCTGTTATTTTCACTTAATCTTCTGCCACCCCAACACCATTTATTAAATAGGCCCATTTCTCTTCACTTTTTTAAAAACACTACCAATATCATACACTGAATTCTTATGACAATCTTAGGACTTCACATGTTATTTTACCCGACTCAAAACTAAAATATTTAGATTATTATAGCCATTAACGACACATCTTTAGATAAGCGTTAGTCTTTATTTTCACAAAATGTTTGGTTCTTCCCGTTATTCCACATAAAATTTACATTTGTTCTAACAATGGAACAAAAAAAATGTGAAGATACATAACTTCGTTGAGATTTTGTTTGGAATGTTGTGCCGTAACATACTTAATTTTGTAGTCAGGAAAATGATTTGTACCTCTTATTACTCAAATCTTTTAAACTACTGTTCAGTAAAGTTCGTTTCCTTCATATAGACTCTGCACATTTTTAATTTATGTCTAGATATTATTTTCTTTGAACTTGTATACCTCTTGACTATATTATCATCGTGGACAGAAGGGGGACACTTTATATTCTTAAAATATATTTACCGGGCTTCCCTGGTGGAGCAGTGGTTGGGG